CTAGTGAGGCCGAAAGCTGCATAGTGGTTGCCACTTTACCTCGTTGATAGTTAATTGAAATTGGTGGTGTTGTTGCGATAGCATTATTTTTTGGTGTTTCGCATGGGGGGGTGTTTCGGAAGTGGGTACGTTGACTTAGTCGCAAAGGAGCCGAGCCTTTGTCATGTCTGTCCTCATGTTAGATGGAGCGAGATATTCCCGCATGTCTTTAGGCGAACACCAACCTATCCACCACTAAACAGACTCACAATGCGGGAGCCCATGGACCACAAGTATGACGACGTTTGGAAGCCTGAGAGCATGACCAGGGCAAAGCGAGGGCGTTCTGTTAAGTGCGGTCACTGCTTCACGGTTTTTAACTACAGTTGGAGGGACCTAGCGAAGAGTGGCTCTAGGATTGTCTCACTCGTTTCTTACAAGATTTTGAGGGAAAGCGCAGATAACTTCTATTGCGACAGACGGTGGTATCGCCACATGGATGAGCCTGGTGGACTCTTCAGCTTAAAGTTCTCTGGACACCAATTCTCGAGCTTTGGGATGTATGCCCCGGCCGCCTGGATTCGTGCGACAAAAGATATGCCGGAGTTTGATACACGAAGATGTACCCTCGAAGCAAGGTGTTTCGAGGGATTGGATACATAGTAGCGCCTAGGCAGAAAATGAACTTGCAAAGTTTCCAGCCAGCGAAGAAATGGCGATTCCGCCTTCTATTATGATATGCGACTGATTGGTCCTTACTTCAGTGCAAGAATGTCAGGAGCGCAGAAAGGAAGCTCATAGTAACACAAGCCGCGCATCACTACTCTGCCAAGAGTACGGAGCAATGCAAGTCATATATGTTACGTTGCCTCATTAAATGGCCCCCAAGATGAAATTGGACTTCCAGCCACCTCCAAGGATGGCGAGATTGAAACTGGCACCAATCGCACATGGCCCACATGAGCCCTGCCGTAACGCCCTGTGTCATTGTTATCTCCGGACTCGACTTTCACCGCGTGCAGAGGCCCTTTCTCAAACCCTAAATACACAACAAACCTGCTGAGAAATCCGAAAATAAATCATTAATTGAATTAGGAATCATTGATGAGAGTGTGGTACATGATAATGTTGGCTCTTTGAGTCGCTAAGGTATAAAGTGTGACGACGAACTAATCGTCAAGAAGACAGAACGATTTGGAAGACAGGACATTATTAATCAATTCAACTATCACTGCTCACTCAAATCTCAAGATTAATTGACGAGGAAATGAGCTCAATCAAGAACGTAGCAGTTGTTGGGGTAAGTTACCGTCCACACCTTTATTGCCGGTGCCCGCGAGTTTACGCTTCACCATCATCTAGGCCAGCGGAAGCATCGGAAGCTATGCCGTTCCCGCCCTTCTGGCTGCCAATTTTGTAGTGACTATCGTCACGCACTCTAGCAAGGGAAAGCGTTTCCCACCGCAGGTGAAAGTTGCCGTCACCGATTTCAGTCCGCAGTCACTGCAGCAAGCCTTATCAGGACAGGATGCCGTGCTCTGCGTTCTCGGTCACGCTGTTTTGGACAGGCAGGCCAATGTCATACATGCCGCCGAGAAGGCTGGCGTCAAAAGCTTTATCCCTAGCGACTTTGGTATTCCGAAAGGCCCCAATGACGTTCCTGAGTACCGCGCCATTCTGGGGAAGAAGGCGCAGGCTCTGGACCTGCTGAAGGAGAAGGCAGAGAAGAATGGCAACTTCACCTAGACATCCTTCTTCAATGGTCCTTTGCTTGACAGAGTGAGCACCGTGTTATCCTTATTGTCTTGGTCGTCCCTATCTTCTCTGTTGCTTCTGTCGTGTCTCGTCGTCTCTGCTGTTCCTGTTGTCCCCATCCAACCAAACGGCAAGCTTCGAGTTGATCTACTTACTAACCTGTTGCCAAGTCATTGGCGCTGTTCTCAGACTTTGGTTTTGACCTAAAGCAATACTCGGCGACCATCTACGACTCAGGCAATGAACCCTTCAGTGCGATGAGCATCGCCAAAATCGGAAAGCCCATCGCAGCTGTCTTCCAGCATCCCGAGGAAACGAAGGACCCAGAGGTTAGCATCGCTGCTCTGACTACTTCCCCGAGGAAGATCCTTGCCGAGCTGGAGAAGCAGACAAACACGAAATGGAAGACCACGACGGTCAGCCCGGACGAGGCGAGGCGCGAGGGGCGGATCAAGCTGCAGGATGGCGACTACAAGGGCGCGTATGTCGCGTTCCTTGTCGCCCAGCTTTACCAGGATGGAGCCGGGAGGTCTGTCCTGGACGGGGCGGACAATGATCTGCTTGGGGTCGAGCAGGAGAGTTTAAAGGACGTCGTCAAGGGTGCACTTACCTGGGCCTAATCAGGGAACCTGTCTGAAGCAAGGCGAAATCAAGGCAGTAACTCGAACATCCGGGTGGAATCATGTCTTTCAATTGAGGGGTTCGTGGACTCAAGCCTTGTCATCTCCACAACGCTAGATCGTCATAAGCCCAAGCAGATACCGTTTCCGGGGTTCGTCGGTAGTTGGGCGCCGACTGTTGGGCTGGCGATCATCAGCCTCCGTTGCCTGGTCGAACCTAACTCTATTTCGTCAATATTTACTTGGATTGGAGTGACGCGACCGCTGGTGGAGCTTGGCTGGTCGGGCTTTATCCAGGGCTGACCCAAAGCTTAATCAAATCAACAGGTAGAAAGCTGCCCAAGGAGACGCCCCAGGTAAAAGATCGCCGTGTTCGTGAAATCATGTTGACACGTAGGGCCTCTAGCCTGCGAATATTCGTGTCAGCTTCGGTCGTTAGCGGTCGCGGTTCTCTCAACCTGACGACGCCGTCAGCGGCTTGGCAACTTTAGTTCCCGGAGTGCGCTCCGCCCGGCACCTGCGGCTTGCGACTTTGTGGGGAAAGCTGAGCCTCGCATCAAAGGACGAGAGTCGTTGCGTCGAGTCGTTGCATCGGAGACGGTTTGTCCAACAGCATGTGGCTATCGCCCGATTGCTGAGGGGCCTCTTCTTCTTGAGTAATGTTCGCGTAAGATGGCTCGTTGCGGGCGTGCATGTTCAGCTACGGCGCCAACAAACCCTCTCTCTCGTCGTTGACCTTGGCGTTGATAATGATGTGTGGCTTTGCGGGGTCATCAGCGTGCAAGCCAAGGAGCGGCCAAGAATAGGAAAATTGTGGCTGTGAGCATGTGAAGTTGTTCTGTTTGGGGGCCGAGTGACGAGATAACAACAAATAAAAAACGCCAGTGAGTCGCCCAACGGGATGCGTTGAGATGACATGACGCATTCGGTGGTGCACTGCCAAACTGCCAACCCCAATATTCCGGATTCTAGAGCGCCATCGACCCCTTTTGGCTGTGCTGTTCGTGCTGTCAAGGCGCTTATCGGGCAAACCAGACGTCGACACAAGCTTTATCGAAGGATCAGGTTTCGTCAGACCGTAATAATCAGCCCGTGTTTTTTTGGCCCTTCGTCTTAGCAGCTTCGTCCGGTCGTCATCCTGTCTAGCTGGGCTGGCTGGTGGCATGGCCCGAAGTGTCCGGCTGATGATGTGGCCATGGCGCCATGGACCGCGCCACGACGATCCCATCTTACCTTTTCTCTTACTTGGACGGGTGGTACGGTAGCGTAAAAGTATCGTCAACGACCGGTGCTGCCGGTTGCCGAAGCCCTCAGCGGTGTACTCCATACTCGCCGTCCGCGTCGAAAGACAGTTGAGGTTTGTAACAGGATGCCCAGGAGTCGGCCTATTGCCCACTTCACCGAGTTTCGGCACGCCCCTCCTCCGGTGCGGCACCGGGCCCCTCTCTCCCACTCTCTTCTCGTTTCCCTGACGCAGCAAGCATGCTTCGTACATAGGTACGGATACCTGTGAAACGTAAAACGCCCCTCCCTCCACCTGCGTGTTGGCGGCCCCTCTTTTGCGGGAATAGACGGGAACGTGAGATGATGAGGCCCGCCGCCAGTAAATTGAGGCCATTGGGAAAATCATTTTTTACGGCCCCCCACGGACACGCGCTTGCAATTGCAGGTTGAGTTGAAAATCCGCCCGTTTTAGTTTGTGTGTGGTTGCGTTTGCGGCGGCGGTGCGTGAGGTTCTATCTTGCGTGCTCTTCGCAAGACTCATCTGACATGTCTCTGCACACCCAATCCTCCCGCGCCCTTCCCGCATCGTCACCGTCATTTGATCCAACCCGCAAGTGCCGGCGCTGGGCGCATGTCTCGGTGTCTAAGACACACTCTCTCAACCCTTTCCAGGGCCCTCACCGCAGGTCAGGAGGGGGCTCGCCAACCTGCCCTGGCGAATAGCACGATTCGGGCCCCTGGATAAGCCTTATCGCTTCATGGGCGCATGGCATCGCATCATGGGGGCGGCGGGCGGTCAATCAGTGCGTGCAATGTCTTAGTTGTCGCCAGGGAGAAAAGAAAGAGAGCCACATTGTTTACAACCATGCGCCACAGCAAAACACGAACCACCACCATCACAGCTAGAAAGCCAAGGTGTAGATCCGAGTGTTGTATCTGGGAGTAAACGTCCCCCCTACGGCAGAGCAACCCCCTTCCCTCGCCCGGCAGATGTCATCTGCGGCCTGGGCGGATGTGATGATGCGCTGCCCTCTTCAATCGCATGACCGCCGCAGCCACCCTGTCCACGTCGCGGCGGGCTGTTTTCATCCACTCAGGGACGCAGAGCTGACACCGCTCATCACATCATAGCAGGACGACTATGAGAACCAGGGCAGGGCGCGCGGGCGGGAGGTTTGGATGCCGGCCGGTGCGGGCGGGTTCAATTTGGGATTGGGATCCAAATGTTGTCTTGTTGGCCCTGCATTGTACGCTGATGTGTACTAACCTGAGCTAAGCTGATGAGTACCATGTACGGATACGGATACCCTCTAAGCTGTAACCTTAGTCCAACTTGTCCAAGTGGCTTGCTTGATACGTACCCATCTGCCGCCTCACCAAAGCCTCCCGGCAACAACACATTCAGCAGCATCAACAAGAAAATTTCACTTATTTTATTTCTCGCCAGGGGACCATGATGGACATAAGGAGCAAAACGTCAAGCCACGAAAACTTCCCGCGTGCGAAGCTCCAGTTCTTTCTTGCCGCTGGCCCTCAGACATTGCGTGGTTCGGCCCTTTTTGCGTCCCATCATTCGCGTGTACGTCCCAGGTTTCTAGAAAACAAGGAGGCAACGCGCCAGAAGCAAAGCTGTGAAAAAGAGGTACCGATGAAAAAAATTGCTTGCCAGGGCCCAGTTTAATGCCTTGTCCCGGGCAGCGTCCGGGCCAGACGGAGCTCTCAGCGCACCCTCCCGGCCCCATCATCATTACTCATTCTAGCCCGAATTACCTCAGAAGAAAAGATTCTGCGGCCTGAAAGGAGGCCCCCTTTAGGAGTCGTCAAGTCGCTTTTTGCAAAATGATGCGGCTAACGCTTGCGCGCTTGTTACGTTGTTACTGGCTGCAATGACTCTCGTCCAAGGGTGTGTGCCTCAACTATTACCTAGTACAACGAGCAACATACGTACCGCCAGCCCACACCACACTAGCCACGCTTTTTTGATGACACCCACCCCTACCTTTACCTTGGTCCCTACCTGGACCTTTGCGGCCACCCAAATTGCCCACCCATCTGATGGAATGGCCTGAACAAAAGTCTCAGTGACCGCATGAGTAGGGATCGGCCTGGTTCCGTTGGGCGCCGCCGCGGGTCTGATCGCCATCGCTTCTCAGATTTTTAGGGCGCCTCGTCTCGAACGATCTGAGCTTTAGATTGGTGATCACTGCATAGGGCTTCCGGCACCCGCGGCTTATATAGTGGGCTTGAATCCCTCCTGCCCTTTCGTCACCGTTCTTGTTGACCTCGTTGCTCGGCACTGCTTTCGACTTTGATATAAACATAGGGCTGCTCCTCACCACTTTGAGCCTATACCCATCGATACTCGACACAGATTTATACACTAGCACCAAGAAGCTATACACACATACGCTCACCACCACTTGCTCACATCCACACATACACATCCAAGATGTTCGGTCGTCAACAACGAAACTTCCCCAAGCGAAGCGGCTCCGGCTACTCTTCCTGGCCCGAGAGCGACAGCGAGGACGACATGATCAGGCCCTGCGCCACCAACTCAGAGAAGCCCGAGGCCCACGTCACCATGACCGAATACGCCCCGGCCACCGCCCCGGCCGCTGTGGAGAACGCCGCGAACCCGAGACCCTCCCTCACCGGCCGCCGCTCCTCCGCCGACGGCGCCGACCTCGAGGAGATGTGGGAGTGCATGCTCGAGCTGCAGCAGAAGTACCACTGCTACAACTCGACCCGTATGGAGATTGCTGCCGACAGCGAGGATGCCATGGAGATGATGCGTAAGTCAATCTCAGGTCTAAGACACATAGGTCAAGGTTGACTAACATGAGATAATAGCTACTCGCGCCTGCATGGACATGCTCAACGACTCCATCGAGTCCCTTCCCGAAGAGGGCTGGAAGAAGCTCAGCAAGTACCTCGTCCCGGAGTGTGACGCGTGTCAGAAGCCGCAGAAGTGGAAGTTCTGGAAGCACGCCTAGACGCTAGGTGCTCTTTTCGGACAGCGATCTTTTCTCCCTTCAGCGATGCGCGGAGCATAATGGCTCTGGTTAGAATGATACCCCATTTTACACATACAAAAAGTTTGGTTTCACATTTTTACACGGCAATTATTTCGGCGGATGGTACGGCCTACATGGACAGAGGGCGGATCGGCGGGACGGGCATGGCTTGGAATCCCTTTTGTTTGCATTGGAAGCTTGCCCACATCATCACAGAATACCCCATATTTTAATCGGCTAGATCAATCAATCACACAGTCGCGATATCTTGCAGAGCCTCTTTCCCGTTCCCTTCGGATTACCTATTTGAGGCAGACGATGAGCTGATGATCACCGCTTCGTGCTACTTCTCGTGGGACGACGGGGTGCGGGGTTGTGTTACTCGGCCAGAGGGTTCCGATGCAACCTCCGATCACGGAATCAACAGTTGCGATCGTCATTGCGTGCGCCCGCCCGATGTGACCGGAAACTTCAATAGTGTGCCGAAAAGCACATCAAGTCACAACTACAAATCGCCCCGTACGTGAGATCGTCGTTGCGCCGTGACTCACCGGCAGTGCACGATGGCTGCATTGGAAAACGACTGGCGGAGGTTTCTATCCTATTGTGGATTATGAGCAGTCACCCGGCCTGGTCGAAAGGGGATGTCGATGTCGTGAGAGACTGACTAGTAGCCATTTACTCCGATTCCCAGCCTGCCTCGGAGCTTCATCTGAGGTCTGACATATGTCACCAAACCTTATTCGCCAGAGACTCAACCTTGGGCGAAAGCCTAAATCGTATCACCGTGGGGGTGAATGCTAATCGGCTGTGTAGTTCGGTGTACAGTTGCATCTCCCCCGGAAGACCGGCAACATGGTCGTGTGAACTACAAGGCTGCAGTCAAACCCGGCGGTCAAGAAACCCCGGATGTCACTAACGGAGGAGCGGGTTGCGCCGACGGATGACAGGTAACTCTATTTCAATTTGCAAAATTCACTAAAACGCTAGAAAGAAGTCATGTGAAGCCCATCATCCCCTACACAGCCGCAGCGACCTCGACCGGGCCCTCGGGAAGTTTGCTCGCAGCGATATTGCACTGCCGGAACAACCGAACCTCGGTCTCTGCAAACGCGCCCACGACGGAGTGAATCACCCCGCGGTTGTGGAACACCACAAAGTCGCCCTGCTCCCAGTCGTGCGCGTACACGTTCTTGGGCGCGATGCCGGGCCTCTGCAGCCGGTGCACCGTCTCCCGGACCTCCGCGAGGTTCTCCACCACGGACCCGTCCTTGAGGTGCAGCTTCCGGACCGCCGAAGGGTGCACCTGCAGCGCGAGACGGCCCGTGACGGGGTTGCGCCAGCACATGGGCAGGATCTGGATCTTGTCCTCCTCGATCGGGGGCAGGTCGCCCATGGGCACCTCCTTGTCCTCCGAAACGAGGCCGAGGCCGTCGGAGCGGGACTTGGCGCTGGACATCCACACGTACGGGTGCGGGGCGTACTCGACCTTTGTGGTGCGGACGAACTCCTGGTCTTCCGGGGAGAGGTTGTCGTACATTGCGTAGCCCGAGACGAAGGCCGTGGTGCCGAGAGGGACGGTCATCTCTTCGCCTGTGCCGTCGTCATAGCGGAGGGTCTGCTTGCGGCCGCCGGGCACGCGGACGGCGAGGAGGGTGGTGGCGACGGGGGGTGCGAGGCCGTAGAGGGCTGCGTCGATGTGCCAGCGGTAGAAGCGGGTGAAGTCGAGGTCATCCTCGGCGGGGATGGTGGTGGCGTGGAAGGTGCGGTGGTGAGGGTGGCGGAGCTGGATGTTCTTCAGGCCCTCGTACTCTTCTACGAAGCCGTTGCCGATGACCTGCACTTGGGGCTGGTGGGGAATGGTCTTCAGGTCGGGGTGCAAGATGGAGCGCTTCGCGTCGATGGTCTTGGCGTGGCCGTAGGAGGCGCCGGCATCCGGGTCGAAGCGCTGGGTGATTTCATATTGCGCCTTGGGAGAGACGTGGCTCTGGTTCTTAAAGACGAGGACTTGGTGCTTGAAGAGAGCATCACGGATGGCGTCAAAGTCGGCATCTGGAAGATGTCAGCCTTCTGTCTTCAACGTTAGAGAGATCGAAGAGCTTACCATAGGAGGTTACCGATTTTACGGGTATTCTCCCTTACGTGTATAACATCAACATCACTTTGTATCTTCATGTGTTCTTACCAGTGAGATTTTCGATATCAACGTTGGAGACGACTGCTCCGAAATCAACAGCTGAGCCCTCGGCGGGGGTAAGCGGTGTAATGGTTGCTTGAGAAGCCATTGTGGTTGAGGGCGTTGCGTGAGGCATTGAGAGAGATTCTGTGGCAAGAGGCTGACTTTTTCTGTTGAGGGTTGCAAACGGTCTATCAGCTTCATCCAAGAAAGAAAGATGAGGGATGATTTGGGCTTTTCTATATGTTTTTGGGACAACTAGCGGGAGCGTTGTGGATGCACGGAAGCCGCCGACAGCCATGCGCTTTGTTATCTCCTCGGACTGCCCCGCCTTCCTTCAGATATCAGATAAGTGGCGAAGGATCTCGATAAGATTCCCATGTGAAACCATGACAGCCGCATTTCCGGCAGCAAGTCCCCGTCAGCAAACCAGATTGATTCAAATGGCAATTGTATTATGCAAAAAGGTTGTCTTAGACGTCGCTTATCATTCATTAATCATTAAGTTGGTCGTGTTTTGGTGTCAGTTCGGCTTTACCCCCCAAAGCCGAATAGCGAGTCAGCCCCGCCAGTTCCTCCGACCCCGCGCTTTGCTGTTGTGACAAACGAAGGTGACCTGTGACACGGACAAAAGCATCTGACGGCGATTGTTTTCGCCTTCCGGACAATTTCGCGGGGTGCATAGCCGCCGGCTCCAAGTTGACGTTGATGCCAGACGTCCGGCCAGCTCGGTCTCCGGAGCTGGGCCGAAGGGGCCGACTAGCAGCGCCGAAAGTGCGGTTGCTCCGTGTCTGGATGCTGCTTCGCATGTAGTACCTCATGCCTGCGTGGTGCAATTTGGCAATGCGACTTGGCTTGGCCTCGCTGTTCCCCCATATTCCAATATGCGCGATTCTTGAGCGCCATGCTCTGCCTTGCACAGCACACGGCAGAAAGTGATCCCATCTCGGGGCATTCTTCTAGTGCTTCTTGACCTTGTCCATCCACTCCTTGGAAGCCTTGGTGCCGTCGTGTGCCTTGCGGAAGAGACTTCGCTCCCACTCATCCAGACCGCGGAGGAAGTCCTCGCTAGAGCCACCAACACCGTCATCGCCTCCCTTGCGAGCGTGTAGAGAGATCTCGGCTGCCCGCGTGACAAATGTCTTGCGCATCACCTCGCTCAGTTCGCGCTCGTCAAATAGGTCGAGGATGCGAGTGCCGAGGCCGTAGAAGTGGGCGCATTGATTCCGAACGGGTACGGCTCGCGAGTCGGCTTTGAGGGCTTGCACGACTTGGCTCGACAGGGCGGGAGGCAGGTTGAGAGTGACTGGGGCCTTGGAGTCTTCGCCGGTGCTGGCGAGGGCGAGCATCTCGGCAAGCCAGAGGGGCAGAGTGATCGGGGTGCCGGCTTTCAGTGCATGTGACGGGTTGTTGTCGAGATAGCCTAGGTCGGCGGCGTCGATTTCGAATTTGCAGGGAATTTTCTTGGTTGCGTTAGCCGTTTGGCCTTGTTCATGTACACTTTGATCGGTGCAGAGTATTGAGGGATGTGGTGCAGCGCTGGGGAGAGTGCCAGCATACCTCGGCATCCGTAAGGATGGAATCAATGTCGTAGTAGGACATGGCGGCTGCTTCGGTTCGCGGCGGGTGTTGTCGATATTGAGGAGAGCAGCGGCCGGTTGACGATGTCACCGTCGAAGCTCGACGCGTCGAGTTGCGGTGTTGACGCGACCCAGCAGCTAGCCCACCAAAGCCAAGTCTGACCCCGCCATCGTTCACCAGCCACAAATGGCAGTGATGAATCCAAAATGTGGCTGATGGTTCGGCCAATGGAAGAGGCTTGATTACCTAAGAATGCGCACCTGAGAACCCGGCTGCCTGGGATTGGCTGTGAAAAGCTGGAGGTGACAGGCTGCCCCACCTTGGGTGGATGACGACATTCTGCTTTCATTCGCAGAAACGGACAGAAGGTGCACCGAGAAGCAGCGAGCCCGCTGGAAGCACTGAGAGCAGTGGAGAGCTCCGCTCGGCAACCAGTCGCAGCTTTTCTGGAGATCCGAGCTCCCACCGGTGCCCTCACGTAATAGCCGACCGAACCTCCCGCAATTGACATCATCCTGAAGCTGTCATTGCGATTCTGCTGCATTTGTCAATCACCAATTGCACGTTCAAAGGTACTGCGTCTCCCTCTATTTCTACTCCCAACGCTCCCATCTCGAATTGGAGTATCGTCAGGAACACCAATTGACACCAGAACAGACATAGAACACGCAAAATGTCGTCCACTCTCCTCCGAACCGCTCCCGTCCTCCGCACAGCTTTGCGAGCTGGTGCCGCGAAGCCTGCTGCCGCTATGGCTAGCACCAGCTTCGTCCGCGGCAAGGCTACTCTGCCAGATATGCCCTGTTAGTAGCGCCGTCTCTCTAGCTTCCTATCGCAGCACTGACAATGCCCCTCCAGACGACTACGGCGCCCTCGAGCCTTACATCTCCGGCCAGATCATGGAGCTCCACCACTCCAAGCACCACCAGACCTACGTCAACGGCCTCAACACCGCTCTTGAGACCGTCGAGGAGGCCAACTCCAAGGGCGACTTCGCCAAGGCCGCTGCTCAGGCCCCTCTGATCAACTTCCACGGCGGTGGTCACGTCAACCACTCCCTCTTCTGGGAGAACCTTGCCCCCGCCAGCAAGGACGGCGGTGGTGAGCCCGACGGCAAGCTTGCTGTACGTTCCCTCCCCTCTGTACTCCTAGCAAACCTGTGGACACTCGCTAACCCCCCAACAGAAGGCTATCAAGGAGGACTTCGGCTCCTTCGACACCCTGAGGAAGCAGATCAACACCTCCCTCGCCGGCATCCAGGGCTCCGGCTGGGCCTGGCTCGTCAAGGACAAGACCAGCGGCACCCTCGGCGTCGTCACCCGCGCCAACCAGGACCCCGTCACCGGCAACCTCGAGCCCCTCCTCGGTATCGACGCCTGGGAGCACGCCTACTACCTGCAGTACCAGAACCGCAAGGCCGAGTACTTTGATGCCATCTGGAACGTCGTCAACTGGAAGACCGTTGCCAAGCGCTTTGAGAAATAAGTGACGGGATGTATGCGTGTATTATATTAGTTGTTGATACCTAAGAATTGACGGCGTTCGGTCAGTCAACCGCTGAAAGGATGAAGAATAAGCGGTCTGGTCACAATGTGCCAAGGAAAATAATGTGACTTACAGGGTCATGCCAGTTGAACAGGAACAGTTCTCCAGTTTTCGGATGGGTTATTCACCACATCATCCGGCGGAAACCAACTCCTCGAGGACCGGGCGGAGGTTTTCCCGAGACGTCTACCGACTTTGCCTTCATTTTGCACATGCTCGGGCATTTTATGCGGCTCATCGGTCCTGACAGTCATGGCCAAAGTGGACAGCTGACGCTGACAAGGTCCACGGTATGAGCCAACTCGAGCTGCCATCCAAGCCTCAGCTATCATGGACATCCGAAATGTCGAGTTTGGCAAGATTCCCGCAGCTCTAAGCTCAACACACGCATTATCCTACAAAATGTCCACGGGAATCTTGACAAGGGTGGAAATGTAAGCCGCCAGTTGACTCCCTGCCTCTTTCGAATGCCTTGTGGAGCGAATTTGTCAAGAAGAAGGTCTGGACGGAACACTGATTACTGATGCGCACACGAAACTTTCCTGAGGTACGGATACTTTCATGCGTCGTCTACTTCGCGTCGGGAAATTTGGTTGTAGCACCAAGACACAGGACTTTCCTTCTCTCCTGTCCTGATCGATGCGGGTCTGGGTTGCAGGAAGCAAACGGCCTTCCAGACTCGGCCTGGTTGGCATTTCGAAGGCCCTGAGCCATACAGATGAACAGTTTGATGGGGGGTTTACGAGATTCTGTGTGACCGAACTGCCCTCTATTAAAATTTCCGGACGAGTGGCTTAAAATCAAGCGTGCGACAGACCAGCTCGTCCCGCCGTAGTTGTTCATGGGCTAGTTGGTATTAGTCGTGTCTTGTTGAGGCTCAAGGCATCATCTGTATGGATGGTATTTACGTACCAGGGAGAAGCAACCTTGAAGTATTCTGCCTGGTTAGGGGTATCCGTCGGCATTCATAGAGTTCCAATAAGTAACAACGTCACGACGCAAAAGCCTTGGGCCGAAGGAAACACCAGCGACGAGCTGTCAATGTTTAAAAAGACAGCAACGAGCCCGTGCTGATGAAGCTGTCACCTAAAGCCTGTAGATGATCCCTGGGTCAGTTCCTGGGTCAGGCAAAAACCCTCCCTGCTTTTTGGGACCAGCCAGCGCGACGTGCGGATCAGACACGAGCCAACCAACAACACGATGAAAGTCAAAAAGATTGAGGTCCCCCAGTGTCAGTTGGCCAATGCTGCATCACGGACACCGATCTCATCGACACGCGGAATCCCCTGGAACCCCCAGGCATCCACCACGACCATGAGAAAGACCACAAACGATTGTCAGGCCACCAACGAATGTCACAGAGTCTTTGTTAATAGTCTAGCCCCAACACTGCCGGCAAAAACCACGGCATCCGAGAATCTCCGGTCTGCCGACTGTCCAAGCAGCAAGATATCTCGGCGGAACTTGCAAACGTGGCTGTCAATCCAGCTGGCCAGCCTTCAACCGGCTCAAACTTCTTACAATCCGGATCAGTCCGGACGTATCCGTGATCCTGCGAACACATCCACGCATCGGGGTTGAGTGCGAACCTGCCACTGAGATCGACTGTTCGCGAGTCAGGTCCGTCCGGCATCCTTTGATTATCTCGTCCTCGGTGGGCTTTTCCGCAGGCCAGGTCTGGGGCTCGGGGTCCGGAAATGGGGCCGGAATGGCTTGGCAAACCAGCCTTTCGGGCTCTCCCGTCTGATTCAGCCCGAGGCACGCTGCGAACGCAGTCACCAGAAGCCCAGCCACCCCTGGATTCGCCAAGTCTATAAAACCAAGGACAGGAAAGACGGCGGCATTTCGACAACAGCGTCCAGAAATCACGAATGGCCTCATTCCACAGGCTTAGCCCGCCCTTTGCGGGATGGCGCGGTGGCCCTAGTGCTCGTTCGCTTGAACTCTTCATCTGCTGAAACCAGTTTTCTGGGCGCCACTGCTGCCGTTATCTTGCAGCTGTTCTGCCGATCGCCTAGCGAGCCCAGTGCTGCCGACGTCTCGGGGCGGTCGGCGCGAGCTAGAAGCATGCCATGTTTTTTCTTCGGCGAACGGTCTGATCGCTGTCGCGGATTGCGATGGCAAGGCCAATTCGAATTTGCGCCCGCGTGGGTGGTATCAAATGGATGGTCTGCGCCACCACCAAAACCTCTGGGTGATACAGTAGGCATTTCCGGCCTTGCCTTGGCGGATTCGAGGAAGAGCGGCAGAGCTCGAGGTCTGGAACGGAGAGTGTCTACAGGCGGTGCACTGAACGAGTTAGCAACTCCGTATTGGCTGGCCGGGGTTCAGGGTTCAGGGGCGGAGAATGCTTACGCTCACAATCTCTCACACAAAGACCCAAGAAGACTGAACCAACGATACGAAATGATCGGGGGAACCAATTACGGCTCAGCACTTCCGTTTCCGCTATGAACACGCACACAAAGAAAGCCACACAAGAGGAGTTTCGGTTGATTCGAGTCTTCGGTTGTTGAAGCCTATGCTCCGTACGCGAGAGCGATGCGATAGTTCCAGATTGCCGTGTCCCGAATCCCTTCTTAACCGACACTCTAAATTCTTGCAAAAGATCCTTTTCGCTTTTCTTCAGCCCGGGAAGATGCCGTGATCGTCTCTTCTGGTTAGGCGAATGGTCGGTTGAGGCATAGGGGCCAGCCAATGGCTGCGTGCTCTAAAGATAACCTTTCCAGACGCAGACGCAGCTAACTGAGTCATGAAGCCTCCCAGGCTGACGTGCCCAGTGAAGCGAGGGCCTGTGATGCGATGCCAGAATCCCCGTCTCGTCTTCCAACTCAGGACCTGCTCCGAGGGGAGCTTAATCTTAGCTAGCTGGAACTAATCCTTACGAAACGCTATGGCCTTGGGAGGTTCAGCGATCCCTGGGGGCATGGAAAAGCGAATCGCAGCAGGCAGGGCAGGGCGATCACCCAAGGGCCGGGTGTCCTCCTCGCCCGTCCTCCCCCATATACATACCGTGGAGTGCTCCGCTTTTGATCAATCCTTATTCCAGCCCACTCGCAACCTCGAACCACGACTTCCCCAGTGCGTGTCCGCGTCCCCCGGGTGTGTCGACGACGATCCAAAGGCCACGATGAGAGAATGACGGTCACGACGATAACGACGACATGGTTGAATAAGCGGGCATATCTGACGGAGGACACAAACAACACCAATGTCGGCTTCTTTAATTTCGTCACCTTCGAACTGCTGTACGCGATCGTACCGGTAATGACCTTCATCGACCTCTTGACGCTGTTTCTCCGAGTTGCGTCGATACGAGAACGCCGGTCACGACCCCAAGCCGACGATTATTCCGCTATTCTCGCTTCTGTAAGTTCTCGGCGGATAAATGTCGAAATGGATTGACGGGCACATACGGTTTGGACGTGGACTAATTTGCGTGTCAGCTGTTTGCTATTGCGACAGGAGTGATTGTT